GGATAGCATGACCTAAAATGATGAAGGGACAATGACTTCTGACCTTTCAGGGGAATGCCTTCCGCATCACAAATAGCTCTAGGCAAAGCCAAAAACTGGTCCAGATCAGAAACTGGTTCTGAGGAGAGTTTTGAAAAAGCTATTTGCTTGCGTAAACAAGAGATCACAGTCTTATTATCCTTGATCTCTTTCTTCTGCTTATGAACAGTCACCTTGGGAGAAGAAAAGGTTTTAAGGTTTCGCCTTTTCCTGTGTGGCTGCTTAACTGAAATATCGGGGACCCTGATCAAGAAACACTGAATATAATTATTCATGTCCTCACTACCATAGTACCTGTACCTCAAAAGGGAATCTGCCTGGTCACTAGTAGCGGTGGTGTGTGTAAATATATGATGAAGATTACCTACCAAATCGTCAACAAATAGTGAGGAAACCTTCAATTTTTCCACATATTGGAAAATGGTCTGCTCTTCACTATGAATGTAAGACTTTGACAATTCCTTGCGTTTACCTGACTGACCACTTTCAATATCTAACTTCACCTTCAGATTATGCTATGTTTCAGCTCTGTAAGGCAGATAATATGTCATGGCAGTCAATGAAGGTAAACTGAAGGTGTTTATTGCCTTTTTGGTCTTGAGGTTGATCTCCATCTCATGAGCTTCATCAAGAGCCACTGAAAAAAAATTATCCCCAGACAAAGACACTGCAAAGCAACCAGCCTTAAAATGGTGTATGACATCGAGAGGGAATGTAAGTAGGTCAGCAAAGTGATAAGGAATCATACGCATGTAATTATGCCTGTCAAAAGCAGTGAAAAGGCAAGCCAAGTTCTTCAGCGAGGCATTTCGTAAATCCCAATTCTGTTCCCTAATGGCAACGTATAGACCAAGGTATGCCATAAAGTCTACATGAATGAAATTATCCCAAAAACGAAATGTCTCGCTTTTTTCACTTGATTGCTTACGCCATTCATCGAATTCGACTTGTACACCTTGCAACATCATAGAAAACCTATCCTTCTGTTCCAAAACAGAAGACCATACCTTGAAATCTTGAATATCACCTTCAAGATTCCCATTACAGTCTCTACTAACTGTAATGTCAGCACTTTCCAAAATGACAGAAATGATTTTCTGAAAATCATCATCAAAACAAGCAACACCTGGTGACCTGTGTGACCTCATGAAAGACTCTACCTGATATCTGAACATGGCTTCCCAAACATGTGATAAAAACCGGTGGGTCATGGGAAATCTAGTGCACTCTGTTAACACCTTCAGAGTGGCACCATGATGAAACTTGACAGCTAGTTCTTTCAGACCAGCATCATAGTATATTTTCATAAACACTGGTAGCAGGTTTTTCAGAATATGCCAATCTCCAGGGTATGGCAAAACCCAATCTAGTGCATTACCATATTCTGATTTCAGCTTAATGAGAATATCGTAAGACTTACCATCACCAACTACAACTAAATAGTTGATCTTAGTTCCAACCTTGAACTTCTCATACAAAATATTGAGTGTCAACTCAACTGTAGCTTTGGAGTCAGCTGTTTCATCCAAAACTGCAATTGAGTGAAACTCAGAAACCTCTGTCTGGCTGCAGTCATATGCTAAATAAGCCTTAAGACCAGGAAGAACAATATGATTTGTTTTCAACACTGATTTAGAGAAACAGTACGCAGACAAATCTGACACATGTTTATCCCACGCAACTTTCTCCGCCTCAGATATGGAAAAATCATCTAAAGATAACCGAGTAAACCTATTTACTTTAATGTTTGAAGGTTCACCAATGTTGTCTCCAGGTTCCCTTAAGGCCTTAATCAAATCAGATGGAATACTCCTAGATACTGATTTTACACCGGTTTCCGAAGCACTCTGATCGGGATCACTAGACTCAGAAGGCTTTGGAACATACGTAAAATCATGCTTAACACTCGGCTTTGGTGTAACTGCTTGAATAGTCGTGCCATGAAAACCTGATTTGTTTGCTCCTGTCCCAACTATAGCATACTTTTGGTTTTTATCCAAATTGTCAAAAGATGCAACAGTGAAACTGTCTGAACTTAACAAATTAGGTTCTTTATCAAGCTGAATGCACCTACTACTAATAAAACGCTTCAATGACTCCTTCGAAACAGTTGCACCAAGTCGATTGCTAATTGCTAAAAGTTCTGTAGAAGAACCACTGTATTTGTCCAAGACATCACTTAGAAGCAAATGAAGGGGTTGACCACATTTAGAACTTTGAGCATTAAAAATGCAGCTAGCAATAAAAAGCCTAGGAAATAATCTCAAACATGAATCATCTATACCTAAATAGCTGTTTTCCCATAAATTAAACACATCTCTGCGCAATTCTTTCTCCTCAATTTCATTTGCAGTAAGTCTATAAATGAAATTCCAAAGAACAGGGTCAAGCTTCCGTATCTCATCATGCACATCAAAGCATCTAATATCAGGTAGTTCAGAAGAATTAACACTTGAAGAAACATATGACTTAATACACTCTCTGGTGATTTTTAATGTTTCATCAAGACATTCAATCTTCTTCATTGCCTGCAAACTTTCTGACAAGTCATCAAGTTTAATCTGCAAGGCCTTATTCACAGCTTGAAGTTCATCAATACTCTTTTTATGACCATGAAGCTGTGAATGTGCACAGCGCATGAAGTCTGTACCTACTCTATATACCATCCTACCTGTCTTCAAACCCTCTGGCACCCAATAGTGAAGTGCAGAACCTAAGCATGACTTAAGCATTTTAAAAATCCACCTAATATCATGCTTAGTTCTATTTTCACTCTCAACATTTAATGAAATGTTTAAAGTGTTGCACAATTTTGAGACATGTCCACAATATTCTGAGTATAAAGACTGCAGTAAAAGTGGTTTATATGTCAAAAATTTGTTTACAACTTCTGCCAGAATCATCCTGAAACAAAATAAATCAATGTTTGTGACGTCAACTGATTTAATATCAATCTCATCAAACTCCTGTAAACAATCAACTAAAAATACATCAGACTGTGCATGAATTAATGTGAAATTAGTAGATTTTGAAAACACGTTGTATGATCTATAGCAACTCAAACATACTATCATGCTTTCAGGTTCTATTTCTTTTTCAACATTTAATTCTTCTGTAATGTACAGGTTGAAATGGTCATGTTTATCTGGAGATATAGTAACAAACTTTTTTGAATATTTTAAAGATTTGTCACATATACAACAGTTTATATCATGAACACATTTCTGATACTCTCTGTAATGATCCTCACATAATGTAACCTTAACATCACTGGAATCAGGAAGGGGCTGCTGAGACGAGTCCCAAGTCTTAAAGCAATTCTTAAACTTGAGGGGCTCAACTGAAGCAACCCTACATGATATATCACAATGTAAAGATGAAAGGAAACATGAACCTGAAATAGAAACACATGAATCAGGTGCAACACTTGCACAATCACTGAAAGTGGAACATGAACCTGAAATAGATCCAGAAAAATCTGGTGCATTACTTGCACTATCACAGAATTCTAGACTTCTGCGTTTAGTAGGGGATGTAACATCATCGCTCAAGAGACGACTGTCCCTTGTTAACTTTGCATCACATTTCCTGCAAATGCAATCTTCATCTTCTATAGAATGATGTTCCTTTACATATTCATAATATGCAGGTAATCGATCCTTTTTCTGACACATATGAACATAACGCTTTGTCTGATCATGTGTGCCACAAATTTTACAGGGACCTGGCTCCCTTCCACTATGTACCAAGCTACAATTAGTGTTTTGTGGCATTGTCCAACTATTAACAATCAATCAATCAATCAATCAATCTAATGCCCGTTACAATTAAAGAATAAAGTAATGCTAAGTGTACAGGGACAACAACGTATGAAAATACATGTACATGTTGAATAAAAAAGGATGGCAGCGTGTATTGAAACTGATAAACAAGGACCTAAATCGGTTGAATTTACACAGATTTGTGTTTACATTAACAACAAAACACGTCTGGATACTTCGTAGATGTTATAAGTATGTGTGTGTTGTTACAAGAGCTTAATATAATGAGATATTACAAAACTATTGTGTTTTTTTCTGGAGAAAATTGCTAATACAACCTTCCGTGAGAAGTCCTCTTCGAAAACAACGTGGTTATGTAACGATGGCTGGTAACGTGTAGCCACTTTATAACGGTAAATTTAATTGGATGATCTTCAAAAAACAATAAAAAAATTGCTCATAAATGATTGGATATGAAATTGTGTCAGCTATTACTTTGACGAAAAAATGTAAACATTGAAATCCGCCATTTTAACATACGGAACAAACTCCTTTTCAAAGTGGAATTAAAGATCATTGCGCATATTGCCAGCATATCATACCTAGTTAATCATGTAAATATATATATTCAAATATGTTTTCTATACTTACTTTTGTATGTTTCAGTTAATTTAAAGTTTTAATTCCCTAAAGAACGGATCATCGTGCTCAAAGACGACAAAGAAAAAATTATAGGTGGCGCTGTTTTGGGGCGTAAACATTTTACATACGGGTACTTTTTTTGTCGACAAATTGACCTCTATCTGTCAGATTCAGGCGTTTGCCGTTCAACTGAAGAATAGAGAAAAATGGTCTAGAAAATTAAAGGATACATAAATGAAGGACCCCCATCCATACCCTCATACATTGTATCTCTATATTTTTACAACGCGAATGCTATTTATACCATTTGTTGATTTTGTATAAATCAGGATAATAGGCATGTGATATGAACAAATATAGATTTGAAGTATACTGCCTGTACGTCTATGCGACAGCAGCATAACGATACATATAACCAAATAAGCCTATAACAACACATTATGGTTATACATGTAGACGAAACGCGCGTCTAGCGTACAAAATATTAAGCCTGGTATCTATCATGATGAGTTTATTTATGGACATCTATAAAATTATTGTTGTTTTATCCAATTTCAGTTGAAAACCCAAATGAACCAGAGAAGGATCAGACCCTTGGAACTGTTGGACAAGTTATATTCGGGATAGTGTTTTTATTTTATTGTATTCTATTCCCAATAGCATATGCATATTTACAGTATAATGGTTACTAACTGTTCGCATATCGCTGACATGTGATGGTTAAGAAGAAATTGTATTGTACTTAGTAAAATATTATTTATCTTGTATCTTCTAAAAGCTATGTTGGACTAGTAACATAATGTTCAAAGTAAAACATTTGAATTATCAAGGAAACGTCGACATTGATTGCGCAAAGATGTTGACACTGACTCTGTCATATGTTGGATATGTTCCTACGGATATCAAACTCCGAAACAGCGGTAACGTTGCTTCGCTAGACTATCATGTAGCGTAGCAAGGAGGACGTTACTTTAAAAATAAGGAGATGAGGTATGATTGCCAATGAGACAACTATCCACCAAAGTTCAAATAAAGTGGATGTAAGCAATTATAGGCAACCGTACGGCCTTCAAAAAGTAAGAAAAACCCATACCGTATAGTCAGCTATAAAAGGCCCCGACATGAAAAATATGAAACAATTCAATTGAGAACACAAACGGTCGAATTTATAACAAAACAATTTACGAAAAACAATTATGACAGACATGAAACAACGACAACGGCGGACAACCACTGAACTACATGCTCCTGACTTGGGACAGGCACATAAAGAATGCGGCGGGAAACATGTTTGTGAGCGCTCAACCAGTGGCGGATCCAGAGAGGGGTTCCGGGGGTTGGAACCCCCATTTTTTTTTTTTGATGATAAATGCATTTAAATGGGGACATAAAGTTGGAACCCACCTTTATCCTTGGTTGGGAACCCCCCCTTTTTTTTTTTGAAAATGGCTGGATCCCCCCCTGTCAACCCTCCCCCTAAACTGGGACAGTGGTGTAACAACACAACATAAGAACAAACTATCAAAACCAGTTGAAAAGGCTTACCTCATCAGATCGATACAAAGCAGAAAAACATCAAACATGAACACGGACCGGACGTGGCAGGGTATTTATACATCCTTCATCCCTAACAACAAAAAAGACACTATGTATACAGATCTGAGAGTACACTTGCAGTTACTCGCAGTTACTACTGTTTCGGAGTTTGCTAAGATATGCGTCCAACTGTCGTTGTCCACAATGTGTTTGTTTTGCTGTGTTCACATCATCGACACATGTACATTAACACTCACTATGAACGCTCAAAAGTTGTTGCAGTCAAAATCGGAGCTATATAATATTCCAAAAAATGAATCGAGTGCTATGTAGTATCAAAAGAAACAAAATATAAAATGCAATCATATTTTGTTTAAACATAACCATGCTCTTGTGATATTATTTGTAATGATAAATGTATTATATATTTTTATATTCAAGTAATTGTGATATGTGAATATTCATGTAAAGAATAGAATGTGTCGAATCATGCACTGTCAAAAGAAAAGGGGTGGTCGTATAATTTTGACAGAATTGAAAGAAAGTGTTCTATATGCAAGAGTAGAGATACTAGTACTAGTATTTGAGACGAATATAACTATATCTTTGTTTATCCGACTTTAGAAGATGAAGGGAAAAGGTTCGTTATACTCATATGTAGTATAACGAAATCAGAGATCTATATTTTAATTAGATTGTCGGTCATAACGCTTTGAAATTTATCAAGCTGTTTAAATTCAAAAAGCCAAAGACACTCAGAGAGCAATGCAATTTCATACAATGTATCATCAGTAAGATAACTTTTATATGTGATCTCATCTTAACATTTTTATGCAGGTTAATGTTTATGTATGTTTATTATTATTTTAACTTCTCTGTAACCGTTCCTGCGTGCTTTTATAATAATAAACTATCCATCATATTTTACGGGTATACACCTTTACACTATTTTAATAAAATGATAATGTTATCTAACCAACTTAAAAATAGAAAATTTCAATTGCACAACGTGAAGGGCTTAAAGCAACGTTTATGATAGTTGGTGAAAAGGAACATGCGAATAACTTTACTGGTATATTTTTATTTTTATTTTTAAAAAAATGTGGTATAATTGACAATGAGAAAACTATCGAATAGAGACCAAAATGACGTAGATCTTAGTTACTGCATGTTATCGGAATGACCTTCAACAATGATCTAAACCCATACGACATAAAACGCCCCGACATGACAAAATGTAAAACAATTCAAACGAGCAAAACCAACGGTCTGGTTTATGTATATAACAATAGAGAAAAACAAATACGATATACAGCAACAAACGATAACAGACTCTTGTGACATTCACATACAGAATGCGGCGCGATTAAACCTGTTTGTAGGCGTCCTAACCGAGACAGTGGTTTAACTGAACAACATAGGGAAAAAATGTAAAACTCAGTTGTAAAAGTCTTCACTCAATAGATCGATACAAGAGGGTCTGGATTTGGGGGTCTTTCATTTCTGTATCCTTTAATTTTTGGGGGCATTTTTCTTCATCTTGAAAAATAAAGTTTATTCTGTAAAAATCTCATGATAATAATTTTACAATTAGATTTATTTGTTAATAATTACTATGATGTATGTTTCATTATAATACGTTATTCTGATTGGCTGAATACAATCTCGCGTTATTCCTTAATCAACTTCATTACACAATGAAATTTATCATTCATGATGACACGAGGTCCCACAATAAAGTGCACAGGTAAATTAAATAAAAACTTGATAAAAACCGTGTTTTCATGATCTTACACAAAAAATGTAATTATAAGTATTGAATGCTTCTTTTTGTAACTTCATAGGGTTGTAAAAGCGTTGACCGTGTGCACATTTTTAGAATGAAGCGCTTCCGCGCTTCATACAAAATGTACTTCAGTCAACGCTTTTACGCCCCAATGAAGTTACAAAAAGAAGCATTCAATTCTTAATAACATGATTTTTTTATTCTGTACATGGTTCATTTCTGCTTTTTACGTCCCATTATTCTCTATTCTTTTTTTTTTTCTTTTTGCTCATTTTTCTCTGTTCATTATTTTTTGGGAAATTATTCTCTATTCTAGCGACCACGGGTAGGGGTGCTGAATTATTTAGGTTATTTCGATATTAAAAGTTTGAACACAAAATCAAACAAAGGGACGTAACTCAATTCCTTTGCAACACACGTACAACTACACAACTGAATACAGTCTCATAAAAGATATGATAATGTCGACATTCATATTTCTCAAAATTCAAATAAACAAACACTTCATAACAATCAAATAATAAAAGTTCCAAAAATATTTTAGAGAAATTATCGAAGAAGCAATTTCTAAAATAAGATCATTACCAAAACGATTGAAAATAACAAGCATAATATTAAAATGAACAGAATCTGGATTTTTTTTTTGTTTTTGTTTGCTGATGTACATGTATGATCTATTGTGAAACAGTTGTTGACGGTATATTCTTGATTATGTCTATGGATGAAGGCAAGAAGTGATGATAAAGAACACAAATCGAACATTGATAGAAAGTAAAACGAGGCATACGTTACGAAAGGAATAATCAAATATCATGTCAAAGGGAGAAAAAACAATACCATGTCCGAAAAGAAAAACGACGAAACGACAACCCGTGAAAACTCATACAACCAATCACAGAACAATACAAACCGACTCAAAAACCCCGATGATCTCATGCGCTCCGGAAGGGTATGCAAAATAAACTCACCATAAATACCAGGATGAGAATTTTATACGCGCCAGGCACGCGTTTCGTTTAAAAAAGACTTATCATTGACTCTCAAATAAAACAAAATAAAAGGGCCAAATCAAGTAGAAAGTTGAAGAACACTGAGGACCCAAAATTCCGAATTTTTTTTGCCAAATACAGCTAAGGTAATCTATTCCTAGGGTAGAAAATCCTTGGTATTTCGAAAAGTTTTGTAAACATTTGATTTATTATTATGACCATATCAATGATAATTCATGTCAACACAGAAGTGCTGACAATCCGGCTGTTGGTACCCCCGGGAAAAAAACCTCTATCAGCAGTGGCATCGACCCAGTGGTTGTAAATAAGCTCATCATAGATACCAGGATAAAACTGTGTGAACGTCAATTTTTTTTATCCACGCTGATTTAAAAAATGTAAAAAAAAAACAATTCATAAATTTTATGGATATACCTTTACGTTGAAACCAAATATTTTAAAGCCAAGATTATATAAGTACCGAAACACGAGAAAAGCTATATAAAGTTAAGGGACTTTAAAAATAGTCAATTAAATTCATCTAAGCTCAACTTTGCTTCGGGGAGTTGGAACATTAAGTTATATTTACATGTATTCTGTTGTCTTTATGATCTTAGCCAACAGAATGACTATTGGAGTACGAACGATATCAATGAATCGTCGGGGAATTTGACTGTAAATCCTCCTAACGCTGCATGCTCAGCGCTGGATCCAGGATTTTATGTTATGATGCGTGATCCGACAAATTACTCCGAAAAATCACAGTAGGAAAACTTGATGACTTTGACGTTTCTAATTGCCAATGAATGATGTTTCAGCCTCGATTTTAGGGGGCACGCCCGATACGCCCCCTCCTAAATCCGCCCTTGCTGATGAGTGTTAAAGAATTTGGTTTTTTTATATATATATTGTCGTCTCTGGTCCAAATAATTATGACGTCATTTTACATATTTCTCGATATAGTAGACAAACGGCCTAGCTCGATTGAGATTTACACATTCCGGTAAGTCGCGATCGTTGGTGTGGTATCAGATGCCGTTGACAATCCTAATATAGTCATGCAGAGTCGAATGTTAATTTCAATTTGAACTCTTTGGGAGATACTCTGTTGCAACCCAGGCTTTGTTGTACAGGAATAACCTGATCTTAATCCATGATTTGATTTGTGTCAGTACTAGTATTTTGTGTTTTCCAGGTGTTTATGATGTGTTTGCGCGTTATGTGATTATAACAGATTTATAATAGCTAAGTAACAAGAATTGTAATAGTAAGGGGACGACCATTTCATTTTCGGGGCAAGGGGTGTGTGAAGATGTTTTAAATGAATATCCTGGTCTGGTCAGAGATGAAAATAAATAACTATATAAGACAGGCTATATAACAGTCATAATTCTACAACACAAAATGCAGGAAACAATTGTGTACAGAATGTCAAATGGTCTTCCCCTAAGACCCTAACAGGTCCCTGATAGTTTTAAGTAGGAAGAACATATCAAATCATGAGTATTTCTGAAATGAAAAGGTTGGATTACATAGGCCCTTTATTCTGTATGTTTTGCCTATTATTGTCTATTATGTAAACCACATCCAGACCCTCATTCCAGAAAGACCCTTCGGATGGAAACAAATCATAAAGAGTTATTAACATTTACATGTACCTTAAGAGGCGGATTCCGGGGTTCCCGGGCCCCCTCATGGAGCTACGTTTATGGTTGATCCATACTTTTTGCCTGTTCCACTCCAAACTTCGTCTAGTTGGGGAAGCCACCCCTTCTTCTTATGGTATCCAGTTATCCATCAGATCGTTGATGATTATTTACTGCTGTGCATGCGTAGGATAATTATACTAGTAAGTAAATATTTACAATGAGAATAGTGCCAATTATAAATTATAACATGACATGTGGTTAAATTTAATTTACATAACTACTAAGGTCTGCGTTGTTGTAAGGTAGGCCAGTTTAGAGTATTGAGCACGTCTGTAACGCTACTGGTGTTAAGATAACTATTGCAGGCATACCTAGCAGCCCGACGCTAAACCATCACAAATTTATTGTATTGTTCATCAGCAGTATGAGGGTTCCAAACCGAGCAAATGTACCCTTAGTTTTGGACGGACAAGTGCTCTGTATGCCTACGACTCAATGTTTGAGATGGATGGTTTGAGGTTTCTTTTAAGAAAGCCCAGGCTATTATTTGCATTTGCGATAATATTGTTTGTATGTTGAGTCCATTTCAAATCAGATTGAAGAGTAATGCCAGGATATTTTGCTGAGGAGACGGATTCAACGGTATGACTGTGAAGAATGTAATTATGTTTGATTGGAGTTTTCTTGTTTGAAGCAGTGAGAACTGTACATTTGTCAGGATGGAAAGCCATCAGCCAGTCTTCTTTGCAGCATCAAGATCTTCCTGAAGGTTATCACAATCTTTTTGATAGTTTTGTATATGATGCTGTCGTCTGCGAACAGTCTGAGTTTACTGGATTTCAAATATTCTGGTGGGTTATTTATATATACCAGAAAAAAGAACAGGACCCAGTACTGTTCCTTGTGGGACACCATGCAGGAGTAACTGGAGCAACAGCTGATGACTCTCCATCCAGGACTACTGTTTGTGTGCGATTTGATAAAAAAGGCGGAGATCAAGTTTAATGTTTCATTGTGTATACCCAAGGATTTATATAGTAAGAGCTTACTATATAAATCCTTGGTATACCATAAAAATTAAGTTTGTATAAGAGTTTTTGGTGTGGGACTTTGTCAACGGCTTTGGCAGAGTCCATAATTATTAAGTCTGTTTGAGTGTTATTGTCTGAATTTGAAGCAAGTTTTTGTACGATGGACATTAGTTGTGTTTCACATGATCTAGAGTGTCTGAAGCCGTGCTGGAGATCATATAGTAAGTTGTTATTTTCTAGATGGGTAATTAGGTGTTTCCTTATGACATGTTCCATTAGTTTACAACTGATGCAAGTGCCGGAGAGATATTGGTTTGTAATTATATAGGCTGCGTTGTATTTTTCACCTTTTTTGTTTTCTGGTGCAACATTTGCATGTTTTCAATTTGATGATGGTATACAGCCAGTTGGGAGTGATTTCTGGAAAATGATGCCGGGTAAGAATTGTTGCTGTTATGTTTTGTAGTCGT